CCCAAAAAAAAAAAAAAAAAAAAAAAAAAGGCAAGTAAACCATGCTTTTAAAATGAGGTCCTATAAAATCTTCAGGAGGGTTTCCTGTAAGAAATCCCTCCTTCAATCTTACCCAGATTCCTTTCATGGACAGGGATGCTGACCTCAGGGGAACAGGACCTCTCAGAATATACTCTACTGGGTAGAACATCACATTCTTGGCATTTAAAAAAAAATTATTTATTTATTTATTTTTGGCTGTGTTGCGTCTTTGTTACTGCGCGCGGGCTTTCTCTAGTAGCGGCGAGCAGGGGCTACTCTTCGTTGCGGTGCGCGGGCTTCTCGTTGTGGTGGCTTCTCTCGTTGTGGAGCACGGGTTCTAGGCACACAGGCTTCAGTAGTTGCGGCTCACGGGCTCTAGAGCGCAGGCTCAGTAGTTGTGGCGCACGGGCTTATTTGCTCCGAGGCATGTGGGATCTTCCAGGACCAGGGCTCGAACCTGTGTCCCCTGCACTGGCAGGCAGATTCTCAACCACTGCACCACCAGGGAAGTCCCACATTCTTGGCATTTAATTGCCAACAAATAATAACTTTTTTTGGAAGAGATTACATCTTCTATTTTATAGTTTTCCCTTATTATCCAAGGGACTCGGAAAATTATAGAATATACCAAAATGTAGAAGAAAGAAAATGTTAGTCCATAGTCTGTATACTCACTGTAACAAAAAGGCTCTTTAAAAAAAAAAAAAATTATTAATTTTTTTATTTGGGCACACCGGGTCTTAGTTGCGGCATGTGGGATCCTCGTTTCCGCGTGCAGGATCTTCATTTGTGGCACGCGGATCTTTAGTTGCAGCATGTGGGATCTAGTTCCCTGACCAGGGATCGAACCCAGGCCCCCTGCATTGGGAGCGCACAGTCTTAGCCACTGGACCACCAGGGAAGTCCCAACAAAAACTCTCTTGAAATTCACTTGAACACACAATTTTGTGCCCTTGTTTTCCCGACATCTTATCACAATCCCTTTTTCATCATTAAAAATTCCTTGTAAAGACCATTTTAAAGAGCTACATACTATTCCTTCAGATTCACCACAATTTTATCTTTATGCTTCCTGTTCCGGGGTAGAAGTGGCTCCCGGTGTTTTGCTTTTATAAAAATGAGGCAACAGACACCTGTGTACCTTGCCCTCTGTGTACAGGTGATGGCTTTCTCAGGAAAGTTTAGAAAACTGTAAGATTGGATAAAAATCCCCTCCTTTTTGAGGCTCTTGACCCGCACTGCCAAGTGGCCCTTTAATAAGTTTACACAAAACCCTCAAATCTCTGAAGGGAGAAACCGTCTCCCTACACCCTCCCAGCATCTAGAACCTGCTCTGAAACTCGGTACCGCAATCGTGGCACTGCATCGTGTTTCTTTTTTTTTTGCGGTACGTGGGCCTCTCATTGTTGTGGCCTCTCAGGTTGGGGAGCACAGGCTCCGGACGCGCAGGCCCAGCGGCCATGGCTCACGGGCCCAGCCGCTCCGCGGCACGTGGGATCTTCCCGGACTGGGGCAGGAACCCGTGTCCCCTGCATCGGCAGGCGGACTCTCAACCACTGCGCCACCAGAGAAGCCCCTCGTGCTTCTTAAAAATACCACTTACTGGTGAAATGATTTCTAAGCCTTACTAATTGCTTGTATCTCTTGCAAGAATTTTCTGTCCATAATCTTTGTCCTTTTATCCCTAGTGTTTTTCCTGAGTGCTTTATATGCTAATTCTTGGCTAGAACGGTCTACGTTCTTTACTTTGTATTCTTCTCATTCTGGTATGCCAAAAAACCCAACATTTCAGGTTGTTGAAATAATCTTAAACAGGGAATTCCCTGCCGGTCCAGGGGTTGGGACTCTGAGCTTTCACTGCTGGGGCCCGGGTTCAATCCCTGGCCGGGGAACTATGGATCCTGCAAAGCTGCGAAGCACGGCCCCAGAAAAAAAAAAAATCTTGATGCAATAAGAATGTTCCGTGGTGACCATATCTGAGCCATTCTCAAATTTACTTCCACAGAGATTGTGCGCCTTACCGATGATCTCGGTGGTGATGGAGGCCAGTGTAAACAGCGGCGCCACTTTTCTCTCATAGATCCGCTTGCCTTGTCCTTTCCCTCCAAACGGATTGATGAACACCAGTAAGTGCTTTGGTCTAGATGCTGCAAAACAGCAACACCGCATAAGTCACGACGAATGTAAGTGGTCAAAATGAGGAACTGTGTTACGAACAAGATCAAACCACGACGGCTCTAGAGCTCCACTTGGTATTATCTGACAAAAAGCATCTTTAAGGTAAAGAACGGTGCTCAAGAGTTTCCTAATCTCTGAAAAGAGAAAAAGCACAGCTTGTGCGATCAGGCAGGTGCTCTGCACGTCGGCCAGGGGCCTGGCAGCCCCGGGGATTCGGAATCCTGGCAGAGAAGGACGCTCTCTCCTGATGAGGAGGGAGCCTTACAGGGTGTAAATGCTGGGAGCACCGGCCTCATTCTTCCTCATGTAGAGGAACGTGAGTCTGCAGAAAATGAGAGAAATAGATATACAGCACGGAGCGCTGGGAGAGAAAGACGGACGGACAGGCACAGGGAACGCTCAATCTGGAGATGGACGGAGAGACGGAAGGACGGCAGGGTGTCCCTTCCAGAGGCCCGGCTAACCGCCAACACCCAGGTCTCCTGAAACACCCTATTTTCTTATAGCAACCTCCACATTTCTGCTTGGGTCGGTTCAAGTAGATTCTGATACTTAAAAACCAAATTTAACCAACAAATCAATAAAGGTAGCAAGAAAACCGAAGCCCTGGGTCCACACAGAATCCCACACATGAACGCTCACAACGGCACCATTCGCAGCAGCCAAAAAGTGGAGACCCACCAGGTGTCCACCAACTGACGGCTGGATACACAGAATGTGACCGAAGGAGTATCGTTCAGCAACGGAAAGGAACAGCCCACTGATGACACTTAACCAATGTGAATAAATACCAAAAGCATGATGCTGAGAGATGGAAGAATTACACAAAACAGCCCCTTTTACATGATTCCATTTATGTGGCAGAACTGACATGTGGCAACAATGACGAAAAGAAACAATCAGACTCGTGGTCGTCTCTGGACTGGCAGGGGAGGGTCATGAGGAAACTGGGGTGGTGCTAAGTCTTACAGTGTCTGGGTTACATGGGTACACGTATGCTTCAAAACTCATTGATTTACACTTACCATTTGTCCATTTCACCATATGTAAATTCTACCTCCGAACTGAAAACAAATACTGATCTCTAGGTAATGACACGCGTGCTGAAGTGTCTGAAGGGTCATGCCCTGACGTCTGTCACTTACTGGGAAACACAGCAAACGTACCATTAACTAATGGATGGGCAGAGAGACACAGACAAAGCAAAACCAGCAAAACGTTAACAACTGCAGAATGTAGGTGGTGGGTGTATGAATGTCTACGGTAGAATTTTTTCAATTTTTCTGTATGTTTGAAAATCTTCCTAATAAAATATTGAAGGCAATACACAATAGAGAAAAATCAAAGCCAAAAGTCTATGCTTTGAAAAGATTCATAAAATTGATAAGTCCCTAAATAAAACTGATAAAAAGAAAAAGGGAAAAAATAGAAATTAACAATATCAGGAATGAGAAAGGACGTTGTTTCAGAACCTACAAATATTACAAGGAAGGTGAAAGGATTTATTAAACTTATGCCAAGAAATTTGTAAGTTTTTATGTAAGAGACACATTTCTCAAAAAATACAATTTACCAAAAGTGACAAAATAAATAGAAAATCTGAATAGTCTGCTATCTAATAAAGAAACTGAAGCCATTAATAAAAGCCTTCCCACAAAGAAAACCCCAGATAGTTTCACCACTTAATGCTTCCAAATATTTAAGGGGAAAAGTAGCCTCCACATTATAAAAATTCTTCCACACGACAGAAAAGAAAGAAGCACTCTTCTCAACGCTGTGTACATGACCATGGTAAGCTTGACAGCAAAACCAGACAAGCACATTTACAGAAAGGAAACTCATAGGTCTATTTCTCCCCTGAGCCTAGGTGAGAAAATCCTAAACAAAATATCATCAAGTCAAATACAGAAATGCACAAAAAGGGCAATACGTCATTACCAAGTAGGATTTATTCCAGGAATACAAAGGCTTGTATGCAAAACACAAGGAGAAACCAATGTTTTTCAACACGTTAACTCAAAAAGAAGAAAATCATCTCCATAGATGCAGAAAAAGCACTTATCAAATTACACATCCAATGATGATTTTAAAAAATTCTCAGAAAACTAGGATTGGAAAGGAACTTCCTTAATCTGGACTTTAAAAACTTACTTAAAAAAACCTGGGGTTTCCCTGGCGGCCCAGTGGTTAACACTCTGCCCCCACTGCAGGGGGCACGTGGTTCGATCCCCGCATACCACGCAGCGTGGCCAAAAAAAAAAAAAAAAACCTAAGAAACATCATTTTCGACAGTGGGATGTTGAAAAGTTTCCCCCAAGATCAGGACGAAGACCCTCCCCGCTGCACTGGAGGGTCCAAACCAGGGCAAAAGGGTAAGAAAGAGAAAGAAAAAGACATAGGAACTGAGACAGAAAAAACAGAATAGTCATTATTCACAGCTGACAAAAAGAATCATCAAACTATTAAAACTAATCAATGAACTTAGCAAGGTCATTGGATGCAAGGTGAAATATAAGATCCAATTAAATGTCTACATGTGAGCCAAAAATAAATAAAAAACAAAATAATAGCACCACAGTGCGGTGGGGAAAGGACAAGCTTTCCCATAGGTGGCGTGGGGTGAAGCAGGTATATCTGTATTTAAGGAACGTGAACCGTGACCGCTTACTTCACACTGCATACACACATCACTTCCAAAGGGACTGTAGCTCCCAAAGCAAGAGGTAGAACAAAGCTTTGAGAAGAAACCATCTTCGTGGTCTTGCAGCAGAAAAGCTGTCCTAAATAGGACACAAACTAGCCACAGAGCTTTTAAAAAAGATAAACAGAGCTACGTAAATATTAAGAATGTCCATCAAAAGAATGGAATGAAGAGAGTGAAAACACAAGCCATCCAGTGGGAGACGGTATCTGTAATTCAAAAATGCAATGCAAGATTCAAATCTACAATATGTAAAGAATTTCTACACATCATTTAGACAGACAGACAACCCAACAGAAAGATGGGTAAAAGACTTGGACAGACACCTCACAAAAGAGGATCTCCAAATGGCCCACACACAGAGCCAGTGAAGTTGAGAAATGCATTCCTATCAGGGAAATGCCAATGAAAACCATAATGCAAGACGACTGACACCCACCAGAGTAACTACCATTTTTAAGGTGTGGTTATGGTTAAGGGGTGGGACCAGCAGAGCTCCGGTCCCCTGTTCGTGGGCGTGGCCCCGGGACCTCCAGTTTGGAAGGCAGTGTGGCCGCATGCACTGAGGCTCAAACACGCCACCAGCCCAGCAAGTCCAGTGCCACGCGTGCACCAGGAGACGCGTGCGGGAGTGTTCAGAACAGCTCTGCTCACGACGGCCACGTCAGGAGGCCATCCAGCGGCCATCAACGGTAAAAGGGCTGCATAAACGGCCAGACACTCATCCCCTGGAACACCACGCAGCCCAGAGCACGGGCCACCTGCCCCGCACGTGACGACAAGCTGCCAGAGGGCCAGACACAGGAGTGTCGGCTGTCATCTGACCACATGAGTACAAAACGAACCCAGGTGTTTGCAGTCAGGTGATCGTCACCTTTGGGCAGCGATGGCAGGGGCCCTGGGGCCCCAGAGGGCTGGCAGCGTTGTCTCCCGATCTGTGTGCTGGTTACCCGAGGGCGCTCAGTGTGTGAGAACTTCTTTGTGTCTAGTTATACCTCAATTAAACGTTCAGTAGTAACACAAAGTGACAGAGCAGCTGAAAAAACTGAATTACAGAATATTTTTAGATACAAGTAGATTATAGCAGATGCACGACTGTATAGGTTTTTCTGTGAAAAAAGTCCCATTATTCAGTGGGGGGCAGGTTCAGAGGGCTTCCTCTTGGAGTCTGAACCTCCAGAATCATCCCGATCCAAAGACTCAAAGTCTCATGAAAACCACTGGAGGACAGAGGGGAGAGAGCAGGTGAGGATAAGCGGGGAGGTGGCGGCAGAGGAACTGAGGCAACCTCCCAGCCAGACTCGCTCAGAAGTCCAGCGGACAAGCAGAGGACAGAGCGCCAGCGACCTGAGATGGAAGGAAAGGTCAGGACACACTGGTCGGATGGACGGCGGGGGACCAAACACCCCATCCCGTCCCACAGGATCAGATGGCGAAACGCAGAATCCAAGTCCCGCCGCCCAGATGCTAAGCCAAACACGTGCTTTTCCAAGCCGGGAAGTCTCTCTGAAGCTGCTGTGTGGGAAGTACCTTCTTCAAACAAATTCTAATTCACCTTTTTTAATCTAGAGGCCAAATTAATTTTAAAAGATATAAAACCAACCTAAGCACATGCTCTTTCTTTCCTATGGCTGAAGCCTGCATTGAGTTGTCAAGGCTGTGTATTAAGATTATATCCAAACAGATTAGCAGAGGCAAACTACTGTATACAGGATGGATAGACAACAAGGTCCTGCTGTATAGCACAGGGAACTATATTCAATATCCTGTGATAAACCACAATGGAAAAGAGTATATGTATAACTGAATCACTTTGCTGTACAGCAGAATTTAACACAACATTGTAAATCAACTACACTTCAATTAAAAAAAAAAAAAAAAAGATTATACCCAAACAACATGAAATAGCGTCCCAGATACAAAATGAGTTGACACCTACCGTTAAGTGTGACAGACAGATTCTGGCTGCACGGCAATAACTCACAGCTCAGATGTTCAGACACACCCCAGGGGGACAGAGATGCCTTCCCCAGGCACCTGGTTTAATCCTCCATTCACCGCGAGTGCAGGCATTATCACCCCATTTTCCAGGAAAAGAAACCCAGGCCCAGAGAGCCAAGGGGCCTGCCCCAAGCCTCGCGGCTGTCAGTGCAGGTGCCAGCGCCCTGGGGGCCAGGCTCTGGGCACCACACCACGTGGTCCTCTAATCAGTAAAGCGTTCAAAAGCCACAGCGACTCATCACATCCACCTTGGTTACAGACAGCTGTGCCGAATACAAACCACGCACGTACTCAGCTTCTCCAGTAGCTCCCTGAGGGTCTGCAACCACAGGTGGCACAGCTGCTCCTCAGGACACCAGAAGGTCACCTGTGCCCACCTCCAGCGGTGCTGCCGGGCCCTCCTCACACGATGCACTGCACAGAGAACACACGCCGTGAGCCTGCGGCCCTGCGGACCGGGGAACACACTCCCCTCACACTAACCCCAGGTTCACACTCAAAATGCCCCAATGGTCCCCTTTCCTTCTGACTAGTAACTTCCAAGGTATATTAGGGAAAAGATCCTATTTCTCAGTTCTTTTAACCCACGTAAAAAAAACAAGAAAAAAATGAATATTAAAAGTAGAGCTTGGGACTTCCCTGGTGGCGCAGTGGTTAAGAATCCGCCTGCCATTGCAGGGAACGCGGGTTCGAGCCCTGGTCCGGGAAGATCCCACATGCTGCGGAGCAACTAAGCCCGTGTGCCACAACTACTGAGCTTGCGCTCTAGAGCCCGCGAACCACAACTACTGAGCCCGCGTGCCACAACTGCTGAAGCCCACGCGCCGAGAGCCTGTGCTCTGCAACAAGAGAAGCTACCACAGTGAGAAGCCCGCGCACCGCAACTAGAGAAAGCCCGAGTGCAGCAACGAAGACTCAACGCAGCCGAAAATAAATAAAAAATAAATAAAAGTAGAGCTTGGAAAAAATGATATAAGGACCTTTCTATAAAGGTAAACCAAGGACACAATGAGTTGGTTAAACAAGTGACAAAAAACGTTCCCTTTCATGTAACCTGCATGAAATTACTGAGGAACATTCAGGCCACATTACCTGTGAAAGCATAAGGCTTTCCCATTTTCTGCCATTTTCCACTGGTGTAGTGTTTCCCATTAATGTCCGTTTCTTCAACGGTGATGATCTCGGAAATAGGCACAGAGCAGGCATCTGTAAAAACACCACATTCTCACGTCAAAAGGGTTCACGGAATTCACGTGAACACAAGGAATGCCACTCCAAAGCGCTGGGAAACATTCTGCTTTAAAATTCATCAGACATCCAAAAGGAAGAGGACAAGTTATACGTAATTTTAAAATTCAGAGCTAAATAAGTTTGGGAAACTCTATGTCATCAGAAGATGGGATGCCTTATCCACAGTCACCAAATGGAGGCTGTGAATTTTCCAGGCCAGCTCCTGTATTAAATTTGGGGAAAGATGTTCAAGACCCAGTGCCTGTGTTCAGTCTGGCTCAGAAATCAAGTGGGAAAGACGCACATAACAGACCCAGGCCCACAGAGTGTGCAGGTGAGTCAGGGCCACACCAAGGCAGGGCGGGGGCGGGGGCGGGTAGGGGGCTCTAGAAAGGCCTGGTGGGTCCAACCATCCACTAGGATGCAGGAGGAGAAAGGGGAGACTTGGGTGGACGTAGGGATGACAGCACAGGACATCCTCTACCATGGGAAACCCAGACATAACTGTGGGCCTGCAGATGCCACCAGGTAAGGCCTCCAGGTAAGGCTGGACACACAAACAGCTGTGGGAAACGTGAGGTGACAGCTTGTAACGGCAAGTGGGGCCCAGAAAGATCCCTCGGAGGCCAGCACAGGAACTGGGAAGTGGAGAAGTTGGAAGACAAGCCCCCAGTGTGGACAGGCTGAGTTCTCAAAGCCCACCGGTAATGGCTGGTGGGAGTCACCATCTGCCTTTACACAGACGAGCATGGCAGTTCCTGGTTTGGCCCCAGGTTGGCTATGAAACCTGCAGTATAGCTCTCCCCACCTTCTGCTACATTCAGCTCACCCAAATCTTTATCTGCTGCTTGGGTGAGAAGAAAAACAAACAAAAATAGGTAAGGAGGATATACTATTTTACACGCGCACTGCTGTTACATGTAACAGATGTGGTGATACACAATTATTTTCTCGAAAAAGGCACAGAGATCCGTGGGGACGTGACAAAAACATCAACACTATCTGAATCCCTAGTCGATTGAGGAATGACACCAACAGAATCCTGGGGTCTGGCCGGAGGCCGTCGTGGGTGAGTCTGTGCCTGGGGCGGGGACCTCCAAAGCAGGACTCGGCGAGTGACCGCCTCCAACGGCCCCTCCGTCTGCTGGGCCAGGAGCTCAGCCTGAACTTCACGACAACACACAGGGCTCATCGTGTCAAACTGGGAGGGGTTTTGGAAGCTACCCAATCAGGGTGAGAGGGGTCCAGCACGAGACAGGTTCCTTTCGGCCTCCGAAGCCACATTCCTTTGCACCCTGCCGTGTGTCCCTTCACATTTGCCGGTCAGTGTTACACCCTGTTCTGCAAAACCCTTATGTCTAGCTAGGAGACATCGAGAATCAGAGAGTTCCTGAAGAGTTATGGATGACTCACAGGGTAACCCGCAGAAAGAGTCTATAAATTAGCAATCTCTAGTCTTGCGACTAGAATCAATCTCTAGTCTTGTGGAAGAATCGATCCCAGGCCACAGTGGAGGCCACAGGCTGTCCCCTAAGGCGAGAGTGACACTGTAGTCCCCTGGTCAACCTACCCGTGCTGGCACGGAGAGGCTTCCCAGCACAGCAGTGCACGTCTTGTGAACACACCAGGTATAAATTATAAATTCATGGATGTATAAATAGATGTTCTTAGAGGAGCATCTTGCACAGAGTTGATGGTGGGAACTTGGGGGTCACTTTCGTTTTCTGCATAGTATTAGCATTTCTCTCCCTTTGCTTGCATTTTGCATAATCCTGCACTGCATATGGGATTAGATAAAAAGTCAAAGTCTCCTGTAAAAGATCGTGTGATGAGAGGAGACGCGGTAGAGTTACTTCCAGACCAAACTGAACCTGGCTGGTGGCCAAATTAATGCCGGCAACGCATGCGGACAGAACTCACTGGCAGATGAAGGGGCCCAGAGCACGGCTGGCCGCCTCACCCCACAGCCTGGCCGCCCCACCTGATTCGGGCCAGTCTCTGCACACAGAAGGCACGTCCCGCTGCCCAAGCTGCTCCGGCCACCCTCTGGAGTTGCCCTCGTGATCTGCACCCTCCTCGGGGCCACTGGGCTGGCTGTGGGTGGCCCTGTCGGAGGATCAGTGCCCACGGCTCACGGGCGTCCCCTCTCTCTTTGTAAAGTAACAACCCAACAACCCCTTTGAAGCAAACTTCCGAGCAAAATGTTCTGGGGTAGGCGGGGACCTCTGAAGCAGAGGAGGACTCGAAAGCCGCCCGACCCCCTGGGAGCCTCCCTGACCCAGGCCCCCAAGTCCGCACCTCTGCGGTGGGCCGGCCCGTCACGTAGGGTTTGAGCAGCACGCCCGGGCTCCATCCACTGATGCCGGCGCCTCCCCTCCCAACATGCTAGACATTGGCCAACGTCTCCCGAAGGCAGGGGCGCCGACTGAGAGCCACCAGCTCGTGCCCACAGGGTTCGTGCGAACCCTTAGCAACGCTTCTCTACACAGAGAGCAGGGGGCAAACTGAGCCCAGGCCTGGGGCCACGGGGGACAGGCGGACACCTGTCCTGTTGACCCTGACCACGCCCGCGTCACAGAGCCCCAGGATTGCACCTGGCCAGTCACGTCCACGTCCCACAGGTGCCTCACACCCAAGCGTCTACATCTAAACCCATCTCTTCTACTTCACAGAGCCCCAGGATTGCACCTGGCCAGTCACGTCCACGTCCCACAGGTGCCTCACACCCAAGCGTCTACATCTAAACCCATCTCTTCTACTCCCCCCCCCCCCCTCCTGCATCCCCCAGCCCAGTGAAGGGTGCTCTGTCCACAGGCTCGCGTGCCCAGCAAGCCAGGCTCCGCTCCAACTCGGGTGGCTGCCAGCCGTCCTGCTGGGGTTCATTCTCCCAACTGAGCCACAGACAAGTGTGAACATGGCTCTGCTCTGCCTGGACCTTTCAGTGTCTACCCGCTGCCACTCAGCACGCGGGTTAATTCAACACCCCAGGCTGGGAACGCGGCTGCCCGTGCCCTTCCTCCCCTGCCCCCCTTCCACCCCTGCCCACCTTCCTGGCAAAGCCGGCGGGGAAGGGGGTGGCTACCTCCATGCAGGGGCCCCTGCCCCCCACTTGATCTCATTCTAACTCCCACGCCTACACCTGCCCTGATCAAACAAGTATTTGTTTTAACTGCTGGATAGTAAACCCCACATACATATACATGCTGACAACAGAACTTGGAGATTTTCAACCAAAGTCCAGCCAAATTATAAACTGCCTTGCAGGAACATCACAGTCTCACTGGCAGCATTTATAAAATCCTCTCTGCTATACTAAATTACTAAACCAAAGTGACTTTTTCTGGGTGATTTTTTTAACATTCCTGAGATGAAAAAGGGAGTCCACCTGGGGCAGTGGCTACCCCGGGGACAAACAGAGCACTGGGCACCCCCACGGCAGATCGGGCTGATGGTGGCCGTCCCCGACCAGGAGCCAGCCCTCCATCCTCTCTGGGACTGAGCTGGGGGAAGAGGACTGGGGCTCCTTCCACCTCCCTTCACGCTGGGGTAAGATCACACGAGAGGCAGAAGATTCCCGAGGCCCCCCCAAGCCAAGCAGGAGCCCCCGGCCCAAGCTCCAGGTTTCAGGCGCCGCTCGGATTCAGTGACCCTCCCAGGCTGTCAGTGCCCACTCTGCGTCACAGAGGGTCTCGGGCTTACAAGCCCTGCCACTGTGGGATCCCCAAGATTCGAGAGAACAATGGAACACACCAAGCGTCCTAAGTGCCACCGTTACCGAACCACGCTCGTCCTGCCAGACACGCAGCAAGCCAAACGCGGATACGCCGAGGTCAGTGGCACACAAAGGTTTACTTCCAAGGCAGCCACGCGAGGAGGCAGGAGAACAAGCCTCGGGTGCGCCTCCCCAAAGGCCAGGGGCTGGGGTGTTTTGGGACAAAGCAGCAGGGCACCCGGGGTGGGGGGAGCGTGGGGGAAGGTGATGGGGTAAAGGTGTGTCATCATGTGCAGGCATAACGAGGCCACTGGCCTCTGCACGGTCAGAAACGGGGCGCTGAGCGCCACCTGAGGGTGAAGTTCGCAGCCCCGTGATGTTAAAAGGTCAGCAAGCAGACACAGACGCGGCCCAGCTGGAGGGTCGGTGGGCCTGTCTAGTCTCAACCAGATCAGCTGGAGCCAGACAGAGCTGATTCCAAGTTTCAGAAAACACCTCGGGCAAACATCTTACTATTTACGCTCTGTACTGCTTGGAGGACGCGCAAGTCTGACAACGACCTTAACCAGTGGAGGCAGGTGCAATGGGTCTGACGCAGAACCCACGGCTTCAGCAGCTGACATCCCCACTGCCTGCCTGCCAACACACACGCCCTCCCTCTCTGACTGCAGGCCCCGTGGGGCTTCTCTCCCAGCTCTCCGTGTGTGTATCCGTGTGTATCTGTGTGTGTGTTTCTATGTGTGTGCGTATCTGTGTGCATGTATCTGTGTATGTATGTGTATCCATGTGTGTGTATCTGTGTGCATGTGTGTATCCGTGTGTGTATCTGTGCGCGTATCTGTGTGTACCCAGGCATGTGTAGCTGTGTACATGTATCTGTGTGTATCCATGTGTGCTGTGTGTGTATCCGTGTGCATGTGTATATGTGTGTATCTATGTGTATCTGTGTGCGTATCCATGTGTGTATCTGTGTGTACCCAGGCGTGTGTAGCTGTGTACATGTATCTGTGTGTATCCATGTGTGTGTTATCTGTGTGTGTATCCGTGTGCATGTGTATCTGTATCTATGTGTATCTGTGTGCGTATCCGTGTGTGTGTGTGTGTGTGTGTGTGTGTGTGTGTGTGTGTAGCTGGGGAAGGCAGGGGCCAAGCACACCCTGTGCCACAGCTTGGTCCTGGCAGAGCAGGCCCTCTGGGTTCTGCAGGACACACTGTGGCTTCAGCTGCTCCCACCCATCCAGCTCTGACCGGCATCTCCTAACTCTTCCCCGGGCCCCCTCACCTGGACTCACTGCACACCCTTGTGTGCCAGCTGTGATGGAGGGCTCCACAGAACCACCAAGAAAACCAACCCACCGCAAGATGGCTTGGACGTAACTTCCACAAAAATATTCTCCTGTCTTCTCAAACTGGTTACTCCCCCAAGAATTTGTTGCCACACCTCTGAGCACGTTAAGTCACCAAAGAGTTTTAATCACAGGCAGCACGGTCCCCACAGGGCATGTAGTTTACAAGCACATCCCGGGGACACACTGACCCAGTGCCACGAGGCAGCAACTCACGCTGGTACTTGGAAAGGATGCTTACGATGTGAGGGGCAAGCTGACGAGGCTCTGAGAACTTGCGTCCCGTCACAGTCTGAAGGGTCTTGAACATTTAAAAGAGAAAATCTCATCATGTGAGCAAACAAAATGTGCTCTGTGCCGCCTTCCAGGTGCCCAGCAGGCAGCACCAGGCATGCTCCCCACACACCTTCCCCCGGTCCTCTCGAGTGGGCAGCAGGCTCTGTGCTGGGTGCACACCACAGGGACACTGAAAACATCCATCCCGGCTGTCCTCTGTCCTTGTTCTAATGTGGTTTCAGTTACTTCTGGTCTTGAAGACTCAATTTGGAATCCAACAGAAACAAACTGTTTTATTACCCTCTACAGAGGTTACAAATTTTGAGAAACAAAAGGCAATGCTGGTCATAAAACAAAGAACTAAAGAGATACTATGTATTAATGACAAGACTACCCTTCCACGGAGCACCATGTATTACCGCCAAGATAAAAGTAGTAAAAAGAAAAGTTAGTACAGAAAAAGAACCATTTGTGTCCAAAGAGTTAAAATGCTGTAATGTCGTCTTCCGGGAGAGGGAAGACGGTGAGTGTGTTTGTAGCGAAGAGGGCCCGGGGAAAACACAGCCGCAGGACAAAAACACACATTGTTCACGAGAAGTGCTTGCTTCCTTCTCTCCTTCCCTAACTGGGATATTAAACTGCATTTGGTACAATATTAAAGTTTAGGATATGTGTGATTAAAGTATAGTTTAGGAGAGTTTTTTAAGTTTAAAATTGAAATTTTAAGTAGCACCAACTTCTGCAATGCTATAAAAACTGAGCAGATTCGAAATAAAGATAAATATAGAAGAGGCAAACTTTTGATAAAATTAGGAAAAAAACATAAAATTTGAATACTTATTTGATATTTTTATTTTATACAATTAAACATCTTATAAACCCAAATCTCCAGCTATGACGCTCATTTTGGTCATTTTATTCACTGATAACAATAAATTCTACAACTTACCTGACACATTCCAAAGAAGTAAAGCATTTATAAGGCTTTACTGGAATGTATGGTCACAAATAACTTGCTTGGGATGTAAAGTAAGCATGTTGTAACCACACACTCACTCGGGGACCACCTCTGTCCCTCAGCCAAGCCGCCAGCTCCCAGCCTTGCTCCCTTTTCTGGGAACGGTCTGTCTATACACCAGGTACCCCGTGCCCACACACACGCCAGACACACACACACACCCAGATGCACACACGCCAGATACACACACACACCCAGATGCACACACACACACCACATACACACATGCCAGAGATACACACACACAGAGATACACACACACAGATACACACACACACACACCCAGATGCACACACGGCAGATACACACACACCCAGATGCACACAGGGCAGATACACACACACACGCCAGATACACACACCCAGATGCACACACACACCACATACACACATGCCAGAGATACACACACACACCCAGATACACACACACATGCCACACACACACAGATACACACACCCCAGATACATACACACACACCACATACACACATGCCAGATACACACACCACATACACACACATAAGAGATACACACACACACACAGATACACACACACACACGCCACATACACATACACACACACCCAGATGCACACACGGCAGATACACACCCAGATGCACACACTCCAGATACACACACACACCCAGATACACACACCCAGATACACACACACACACACCACATATATACACGCCAGATACACACACCACATACACACACACACACGGCCACCTGACTGGCCCGGGGCTTTCTGCTTCCCAGCCGAAACCCCATCTCCTCGGGGAGGCCTCCAGGTCCCCCCTCACCAGTGTGTCAGCCGGGCCTGCAGTCACTTTTCTGCCCCCTACTAGGTGGCATCTCCCTGAGGGTGGTCTTACTTGTTCCATTCAAAGCTGTGTGTGTCCCCACCGGTCACCTCACACAGGGCCTGGCCAACCCGAGTCCAGCTCTGGTCTCCATGTGTCACGCTTTGTCACATGAGTACGCCGGCTTTACGCCAGGCATAATAATAGTAATAGTAATAATTGCCACTTGTGAGGCCCACTTTGTGCTAAATGTATAAGCTCGTGTAATCCTCACAAACAACCCAGAAGGTAAATATGATGACCCTCGCTGGACAGATGGACTCACAGAAGATCTTCCAGATCCTCATTCTACTGAAGCCTGGAGGTCAAAGAACTCGTCCAAGCCACCGGCAGGGCCAGGACTCGCTTCTGGCAAATCTATCAAAAAGTGTTTCCTGTCAGGCAGAGGTTAAAGAGAGCCTGCCAAACCTGAACACCAAGGGGGCACCGAGGCAGGGGTGCGTCCTCTGCACCCACAACCAAGGGCCCCCCGCAACTCCAGTGTGCACGACAGGCAACCAAGTGTGGACGCTGACAGCCACAGACCCACTCAGAAATTGGCGAAGAAAAAGACCTTTCTTTCCAAAAACCAAGCAGCCACGTAGAGCAAACGGTTGGAATATCTTTAATTTTGAAGGACTTAAGCTTTCACTTACAAGAATATCCTTATCAATAATATATCAGGATAGGTCATTTTATTAGGTTTTGCACATTTTATAAAACCATACTCTAAATAATTTTGATTTCTTCTTAGAATGAGGCTCAAGTGAGTTAGAACTGCCGACTGAGTGACTAAGACCAACACCCTCTTCCTTCACTTTCAGATCCTTTGGCCAAACTTGAACGTGCCTCTCTCTGTGTTTCAGTTCAGTTTCAGCATTAATTTTTCTAATAATAAAGCAATCTATTTTAAGGATTACCACCA